GCAGGAACTCTGGATAAAGTTTGGAGCTGTGCGTATGCGCGTCGGAGGAAAGGACGGAAACAGACCTTGGTGTGCTTGATCTCCGGGTTGGGCACCGGGGAGGGCATCAGCTGGAGGGATGCCATGAGAGCAGCCGGGTCGCTCTTCACCTCTCCTGGGATTTCGATCTTACTTGAAGTCATCACGGCTCCGCTCGTCTTCCTGCCTGCCTGCTTCCCTGCTCACTGCGCCTTTTTTTTCTCCCCTTCTTCTACTCGATTTCTGATTAGAGCTTCGGGTTCCTTCCTGGGTTTATAGCCAGGTGTCGGCTGTGGTTGGTTTTCATTGGGTGGAAAGAAGTGGGGGGGAAAGGGCCGTCCTTTTGAAAATTAAATCCAAGCATTTACATAAATGACCTCAAGCCATGCGTGTTAAGGAGGAGGAACACGCGCACCCCACCTACTCTCCCACCGCGCGCTCTCCACTTTCCCCCAGTCGCTTTCGCTCAGCAACAGTTGGAGCTTTTTACATACTTATTCATTGTTTTACATACACAAATATCATGCTCATGGTGCCTGTGGCGAGTTATCACAGAGGTCTGGAACTGATTATCTCATACGTGCGCTCAGCACTGATAATAACTCAGCTTATTAACTTTACCGGGCAGTTTTAAATTACGCATTTTTTTGCCGAGAAAAAAAAAAAAAAAAAGGAAAATGGGTCCCAGACCAGCGCCTTACTTTGCTTAATGAAGCTTTTGCGTCTACAAGTTTTTTAATAGAAAAAGTAAAATGTGATAGATATTATAAATAAACATTGCAAAAAAAAAAAAAAAAATTGAAATCTAAATAAGTCATTTTTTTTATTGCAATAAGTGCATTTTTTTTTTTTCTTGAATTGGAGAGGTACTTGAGCCATTTTGCACTATGGAACAAGACAATTTACATTTAAAATAAGAAAACACAATTGCATTGTCTTATCTTAAGTGCATCTAATCTATCTAATAATCCTATTTTAACACTAAAAATACTTATTCCATTGGCAAAATATCTTATTTACCTACCCATTTTTTCTCATTTTTAGATGGTTTTTGCATTGAAGGACTCATTCGACTTATTTAGCCTATATATATATATATATATATATATATATATATATATATATATANTATATATATATATATATATATATATATATATATGTATTAGGCTATCATTAACAATTTCCTGCAAAGATGACATAAAAGTGTCATACTCCCTTTCAGCTTGCTCTCACCCTGTGGGTTTATTTGCCTAACACAACCTCCCCATGGCCGTCGCTGTCATGTAAATTACGGACAACAGGGATTGCTGCAGCTCCACGGGGTGTTGTTGGCACAGATTTGTCCTGCAGGTGATAATTCCTCCCGGAGTCTCCTTTTGAAAGCGTCCAATAAACATCTACAGATTACAAAAAGAAGGGAAAATGTTTGCTTTCTTACAGATTTCAGGTTGATATCACATAAAAATAACAAGAGTAAATAACAAAGAAGTTTCATTTATTCAGGAAGCAAAACAACCTTCCAAACCAATCTTATTCTTTGTTTAAAAAACAAAACAAAAAAAACAATAACAATTCCCTGAAATAATAACTGGTTGTGCCACCCCTGCTGACAAAAACTTCTGCCCAGTTTCAGGCAATGAGTGTTATAGCTACATCCATGTAAAAGAGTTTTTTTTCCCACCTTTGCAGAACTGGTTTGATGCAGCCAGTTCTAATAATGCCACAGCTCCTCCAGTGGGTTTATATTTAAACTTTGACTAGACCAATTGAAAGCCATTGTTACTTTTGAAAGGGTCAAGTGTTCTTGAGCTTATAGCCAGTGATGGCTTGAGATGATCCTTTGGGGGGAAAAAAATGATAAAACACATAATCTCTGTTTTCACAAGTCCAGGATGTGAAGTAGCAATGAAGACAAAAATCTTATCACTGGAAACTCCACATTTGACTCAATGTTGCTTGTATAAAATGATATGTTTGTTGAATGGGACCCAAAGAAAAGATAGATGTAACTGATATAATCTGAATGACACCAGGCACTCATGAAGGTTCACCAAGTGTCCTGATTATGATTCTCAGACCTGTTGGACCCAAAGCCATAGAGGAGGCTTCCCCTTGTCAGATTTTATAGATGTTATATCTCTACATTGAGGTATAATATGCTTTGGCCAATTTTTATGTTGCTATTGTGGTTCTATTTAAGCAGCTCTACAAATTCAAGCCTAGACAGTGAAACTGATTTTAGGTACCCAAAATGATCTGGTCATCATAGTCCAGCTTCCTCACATTTGTTGGGATAACTTGTTTTCCTAATTGAACTCAGCATTTTGAAGATAATTTGTATGCATTTCTTTTTCTTTTTTTTGTATTTGACTTTAAGGTTTCTGATTATCTGAAATTGTAAAAAAGAAAAGAAAAAATAAAGAAAACTAAATTAACTATGCCAGGGAGAACATACTTACAAAAATATCTACAGTTCAGTGAAGGGTTTCAAACAGAAGCAGCAAGATGATAAAGGATGCATGAAGAGCGTTTAATATGTGCATTTTCAGTCAAAAATGAAGCAAAGATTTCAATAAACTAAAATCTCTCCTGCTCATTTAAAGTATTAACGATATAAGTCCCACAAGCTGAGACTCTTAACATGACACATCAGTTTGAAGACAGATGCAGCTTCATCATTTGCAAACCTCTGAGTGGATGCTTTTCCTCCATCAGCACATCAGTGCTTTTTCACAGCCTGGGCGACACTCTCCAAAGTGTCTGTTTCACATCAAAGAGGACAAGCCTGCAGCCGTGACATTGATTAATGGATTCAAAAACATCCCGTCCTCTGCCTGTCGTCTCACCTTTTTTTTTTCACAGAGCCCAGCCAACGGAAGATAAGACATACAGGAGGAGAAGGTGTGAGAAGCCATCAGCCGCGCTTCAAATGCGTTCATGGAGCGCCCTCTGTTGGACGGAAAGAGCATCTGAGCGTAGAGGTTATTGCGTTGCACAAGCTGATGGCTGCAAAAATACTGCATACCCTGGGGTGTGACAAAGAAGATAAAGAAAACTGGGTCTGTGGCAAATATGTTGAGTGGGAGGATTATATGATGAATTGTATTGACATGAGATGCGAGGAAAATAAAAACATCTAATGACAGAGTTTTGAAAGGCTTTAATGTGCTGGAATCTAACTTCCCCCCCCAGCTTTTATTGTCATATACTGTCGCAAGTACAGAGCAACGAAACTCACTCTTTGCATTTAACCCATCCCCTTGGGGAGCAGTGGGCTGTCACTCTGCGGCGCCCAGGGAGCAGTGTGGGGTTAAGGGTCTTGCTCAGGGACCCTGTGGGAGAGGGACTCTAACTCAGAATGCATCAGTGATTGTTGCAGAACTTTAAAACTGGTTAAAATAATAGCCTATTGATGTATTTCCTAAACCCTCATATATATTGCGCTTTCTGCGTCTGTTCAAAATGTCTCATCACCAACTCTGCCTTCAGGACTCATCATTGTGAACTGCTTGCTCTGGTTTCATGGCCCTTTCTAAGCCTCAGAAGACAACATCATTGGCTTACTTTCATTTACAAGGCCATCCAACTCCCTCCTTACCTGTGTCACCTCATGTCTGTAGCTAACAGTGGTTACAACTCACGCTCTTCAAGTCGTGTTCTTTTCACTATTCCCAGGATCAACACAGATCTTGGCAAAAAAAAACATTTTTCTATGCAGCTCCATGGTCGTGGCACAATATTCAATAATTCCCTGCAATTACGGACCCTTATTCCGCTACAACATTTTAAATCACTATTGAAAACCGCTTGCACAGAGAATTGTAACTGTTATTTTAGAGTTAGTTTATGATTGATTTTATTATGTTGTTTTTATGTGTTTTTATTTGTCTTACTGTACTGCTGCCCCAGGTCTCCTCGAAAAATAGATTTTATCTCAAGGGACTTCCTGGTAAAATAAAGGTCACATAAATAAAAGATAAAAAAAACTGTTTAGTTCTAGTGTTTGTCGTTGACGTTGTTGTTTTTTTTTTCTTTTGTTTTTTTTTTTTTTATAAAAAGTAACCCAAATAATGTTCAATTTCTGTTTATTACATTTTAATTCGTTTAGCTGTGTATTATTTTCCCACTTTTTGATTATGGGAAATTGTGTTCTATTATCACCCATACATGATCTTGATTATCATAAATAAATCTGATTCCCTGAGCTGTAATTAAAACTTTACTTTAGGTGGAAAATGCCCTGATATTAGATATGTAAACCCACACTGTGTCAGAAAACGTGAAATTAAGCCTATTAAAATAAAAACATTCTTTAGTATTTACACAAAGTGATATATTTACACCAAGTTACGGTAGGATTTCCAATGCATTCTGGAAAATTGTAAATGGAGGCTTGGTGAAAAGGATTAATAAATAAAAATAAAACAATATTTAAAATATAATAATGATTTACCGTTGCCGACTTTATTTGAATATTTTGATTAGTGTAGTTCATTGATTTTTGCAAGAAAATAACACTCAATTTCATTCATATTAATTAGGCTACAATGATAAAATAAAGCAGTTAAAACAGTTTGTGTGCGATTCTTGTTTGTCTCTACAGTACAGCTGGTTGTTTTTACATTTGATAGTGCAGAGCACTACTGTTAGTGTATGTTTGGTTATGTTTTTAACTTTAAAATCGATCGTTTATCCTTGTAAAAACACATTAAATGAGCTACTGGACAACATTTTTAAAGTTTAATTAGTCAATTTAATTGTCTTATTTTCTTTTTGAATGTTTCCAACAAATCAAATAAAAATAAGCAACGATTATACACCCTTTTCTAACGGAAAACATTCAGTGGAATATTTTTTTTTTAAATGGACCCCTTGTGGTTACGCCGGGAAACATATAGAGGGAGCTTAACGCGTCCGACAGTGGGAGGCGACAGCCTGCGCCCTGACCTACTGTCTTACTCCCATCAGAGTTGGTGGCTGTTTGTTGTGATCGGAGGAAGCCTTTGAAGAGTCGCAGAAAATAATCCCAATAGTGAAAAATCATGGAGGGGGAAAGAGGAAGGAAGATGAAGGAGAAATTTGGCCTGAGGCATGCCATCCTGAGGGAGTTCCTGGCAGAATTTCTGGGGATATTCGTCCTGATAGTGAGTATTATTCCTCCCTCCCTCTGCACCTGTCATCCAGCTTAAACAGCCGCTTTAAAGCTGTCTAATAAGATGTCAAGCAGAGTGTCTGTTGACTGACTGCTGCACTTCACTTGTGTCCATTTACAGATAAATAAAAGCTATTTTATGACAGGTTGTCCTGAAGAAATCATGTTAAGATGTAATTAATGCAGTTTTATAGAGGTGCTTTGTCATTAAATATTCATTGTTTCATAATTATATGATTTACAGAGGCATAGCCAGAAAATCCTGATAGGGGCGGTCAGTCAATAACCAATGAACACTGAGGGGTGGCCGAAAGGCACCAGAACCTCAATCTACACTGTTCCAACAGGAACACGCACAACATCCATATTTTCTAAATAAAGAGAAACTATACTTTCCTGCAGCTTTTGCTAATAATAGACGCATATATTTAAACATCTATGCTGTGTAAATAAAAGGTATAGTGGACAAAATTCTTTCAGGTTTGAGTTCTGGGGCGAACATATTTCAATTGTCATTACCTACTTTTATCAAAATTAAATCTACTAATATCCACATTTGATAATTTTTTAAGTTAATATTAAAGTAGTTATTTATCTATGATTTCACTGAAGACTCCTATGACTTGCACTGGCACATCATTTGATCTTTACCCCAAATAATTCAAAGTTTAGTTCTGAAAAGAGCATGAATTCTGTATCTATCATCGTTAATTTTTGTATATTGATGTACATAATGAACCACAGTATTTCTGTTGTCAAGTAGTTGTTAATATATGAAAAATGTAAATGTTTTAATAAGTTTGAACATTCCCCTTCAAAGTATTACTGCTGCCACAGTCTGTATTAAGCCGGGCGTACACTGTGCGATTTTTTCAATCGTTGCATGCAGCTACTGCTCACACTGTACAACCAAACCGCGCGTCTAAAAACCACGTTGGACTGAGGTCCGCAGTGAGATGGAGCTGCTCCGACTCGTCTATCCGGAAGCCAAACGAATAGAAGGGGAATATTAAGCTCACTAGAGTGAAAAGAGCTGCCTTGGCAATTTGCACAATTTTGTGCTTAAAGCCCTAAAAAGAAAAGGCGACAATGTATTTCGACAAAGACATGGCTGAGCAAATGTGGCTACTACGGTCTGTCAATTTTACAGAAAGAACTCCATTTCACTCATGTCTGTGTTTACATCTGAGAGGAAGAAGCAAAAAAAGAATCCTTGTTTGCGCACTGAGCGATTTGCCCACGACGGCCAGAAGAAAATCAAACCTCACGAATCCTGATCGGGAGGTCAGTCGACCTGATTGGACTGGAAAATTGCCCTGAAAATCGTACAGTGTACGCCAGGCTTTAAAGGCAAAAAATGGTAGGGGTGGCCACAGGGGTGGCCAATGATTGACTAAGGGTGGCCATGGTCACCCCTTGCCCCCATCTAGCTTCCCCCCTGATTATACAGAATAAAACAAATAGAGAGTAATTCAAGATAAAAAAATAAAAAATTAACAATTAAAGGGATACTATTAAAAAAAAGCGTGACCCAGAGTACGAGTACGAGTATAAAAAAAAAGATTGCTCTATCTTTTGTTAAGAGTCACCTGAGTGTCCACGCCTCCACCTGAAACCCTCTGAGCTCCAGCTGTCACCTCAAAGAAAAAAAAATGCTTTATGTCTGTGCCTGCCAATTAGAGGGATGATGCAGCTTCAACAACAACTCTATTTATTTGTGGATGACTGCTCTTGCCTCAACACTTTTCCCCCTCTAAATTACTTGTGCCTTTTACTTAATATGTGAGAGCTTAATTATTGTTTTTAGCTGCAGCTTGGACAAATTGTCTGTGGTAGTCTGAGGCTGTTTGTGGACAAAAGGGCTAGTGTTAATTGTGAGCCTAATTGGAATGATTTAAAACAATGAGCCTTTTCTAGATGCACTCTTTGTGTTTTTGTTCTTGTCTGTGTCCCAGCTCTTTGGATGCGGTTCAGTGGCCCAGACCGTGCTGAGTAAAGGGGCTCTGGGAGAGCCGCTAACCATCCACATTGGTTTTACCCTGGGAGTTATGATGGCGGTCTACATGGCTGGGGGAGTGTCAGGTAAGAGAGAATCACACGTGAATCTGTCATAGACGATATAAAGATTAATGGGAAACAGATCACAAATAAAATCTTTTCTTTCAAATTGTCTCTCAGGTACAGAAATATCTATAAATTTATGAAATACATTCGAACTAAGAACTCTCTTTTTATCATTTGTTTAAAAAACACACACTTTGATGCACTGTCAAAAGTCTGATAAAAACAAGCTTAAGGTTATGATTGCATACACATAAATACTATATAGTGGTAATGCTGAAATCTCTGTAATTCAATATTTACTATCGAATTCTATCATACAACCTCCATCAAAGAACCTGCTTGACAATCAGTTTTTTTATATTTAGGAGATATCACAAAAAAAAAAAAAAATCCCAGTATGTCAAAGGCTTCATAGTTGGATTGGTGAACCCGCCTGTCATTCCACAACACCCCTGGTTCACAAGAACACAAAGTCCTGAAAGATCCTCATATTAAAATCACAATACAGTTTATATTATTAAAAAAGAAAAGCATAACATGATATAAATGGATTTATTTTATAAGGGAAAAAATTTCATTTTCTGACAAAAATAATGTAAGACATTTGTTATCATGGTAAAAATGGCATCTGTAACTGATCTACTGGTATTTAGATTTCAGTCCATAGAAATGTAAAAAGGTATAGAATAAACCTCTGCTAAATTTATCAGTGGTGTTATCAGCTAGTTTATTATGTCTTTTGTCCTTTTGTTCGTTGTATGGTATCATAGGCTGCATAACAAGCAGATATGAGGAAACCTTCTAGTCAAACTGTCTACATTCGGTTGCTAAAGATACCTCTAATGTACCATATTAACTACATTTTAAACTGGTGATGGAGCATTACCTTAAAAAGGAGTTACTGGTGCTAAACTCTAGTAGATTATTATTGAGCCAGCTGAGTGGGACTGCACAATACCAAAGTGGGGAGAGCTGCGCTCTTCACCATACTGGTTAATAAGCTGGTGAGAAAATTCCTATTACTTTAACAGTTTTTGTTGCTTTCGTTTTCAGAGGTTCTAACTTTAATTGATCATAATACCAGTAAATGACCAATACCTACTCCTCACTAGTTTATGAACAAAATAATCTTTCAGTATCATTAGGAAGTAATACATCGATCTATTACTTTGTGTCTTTGGTTCTACAGGTGACATGTCTTTACATTTAAAAAGATGGGAATAAACAAAAATATATCATCCTTTAATTGGGACAGGAATAAAGCGCTATGGTTTTAAAGAAAAATCACAAATTATGCATTTGTTTTTTCCATCCATTTTCCTACACACTTATCCCAATCGGGGTTGTGAGGGGTGCTGGTGCTTATCTCCAGCTGTCTACCGAGAGGCGGGACAAGTCGCCAGTCCATTGCATTTGTTTTTATTGTTAAAATTTTATTGTTAGCTCACAAAGTTCATAAGCATGCTGACACTAGTTCGTTATTGTTATAAAGGTTTTCATTGTTTTACTTTTTATGTTATTTCTAGTTAATTTAAACTCTACTTTGCATGATGGTATTCATAGCCTAATTTGCAATACGGATTAGGCTATAAATCGAAATAAGTATATCCAGCCATAGACAGAATATAATATAATGCTGCAGCTTGAAAAAAAAATGTATTTTGTCTATTTAGGTTAGTTGATAAGAACATAATTCGGTTTATAGTTTTTTTTTTCTTATCTTTATTTTCTGTTGGTGAGATTAGATGTTCATTGTTTTGGCTTTGGAAGTATTTTTTAAAAGAATCCTCAAAATTCTTCTGATACCACCATTTTTTCATTAAAGGATCTTTAATGAAGACTTGTTTAAATATGCAAGATATTAAAATTAAAATACTGATTGCTTTAATCGAGAATATTTTCTTGGAAATCTCATGTTCAAATCACTTAAATGTCAACATTAGTATTTATTTTGGTTAAAAAAAATTTATCAAATTTTGATTGAAATATAATAGTGAAGTTATTTCCTTTACTTTCTACATTTAGCTGTTTTTTTCCCTTCTAAAATACTTTGTTTATTGTTGTTGTTTGGTATTTTGTCATGTGTTCAGGGCCGTCTGGTTAATTAGTCATGTTGAGATGCACAGAGAACAGTGTCAAGGCAAATGCATACGTTTATATGAGTTGTAGAAGAATTGTCATGCATCTCTGGGTTGAGCTTTAATTCTAAGCATGGTTTTGTTCATGAAAGGTACATCATAAATGTGAATGTGACAGAAAATTAGAATTTCAGATAGGAATTTATCTGAAAAAAATAAATTTTTTCTAAATGATCAGGCTTTATCAAATCAAATCTTTTTTTTTCACATGTTATTACATCAGCAAACAAAGCAGATTACTAAAACAATCCTAACAATGTATTCTAATGGAGTTTTTTTTCCATTAAATTATGTTTATTAATGATTTACTTTTCATATTTTCTCCTCCGAGATGTGGATCAACTTTAAAACAGCAAAATGTACCATTCACAAACATTTCTATAAACTGTACATTCACAAACAACAGTAGTTAGACAAATATTTATTCTCTGTTTGAACCCAGTAATAGACTTATCATGAAATATATTGACATTAAAGGATATGTTCAGTCAAGTCTAAAAATATGCTATACCCATATTAGCTTTACATTAAAAGTTATTGACTTTTATTGTGTATTGACTTCTAAATAACCAGCCTTATAATTAGTGATGAGTTTTAAGTCTTTAAGGTCAGTGTCGTCACACTAATCACTAGATTCTCCATTGGATTCTTGTCAGGACTCTGTCTGAGACTCTTAAAAAAACATTCTAATTACCAACAGTCAGAAGAAACATGTTGGTAAAATGATTTAAAAATTGCTCAGTGTGCACTTAAGAAAAAAGCCTCAAAACAACATAAAAACAAAGAAAGAAAATATAGCAAAAAAACACCAAAACAAGCATTAGCTCATGAATACTTAAAAAACAACAACATATCAGACTGATATCAATATTAAACAACATAACAACATGAATAGTTAATCAGAAGTATCCTATAAACATTTGCCTTATTTTAAGTCTAGTTTTCTTACTATAAGTTTTAATTTGAGGATAGAAGGGGTTAAACTTAGCCTGGGTGCCAGTCCGAACTTAGTCCCGCCCACAAGGTTTGAGTTCGGGGAAGTTCGGTCTGGCTCTGCTCCATAGTAGCGCGAGTATTATCGCCCACTGTCAGGCGATCCAATCAAATTGTCAGGGCGGGCTTTATACGATGATGGACAGATGATCAACAGTAATGTAATCAACCACGTGACCAAAGCACGCTTGGGTGACAACAATAATGGCTGCCGCTGGAGAGTTTGGGTGAGTAGATTCTGCTATTAGTTCTGTTCTAGAAGATATCGACAGCAAATTAATTTTAAAAGAGGAACAGAGAAACGCGATCAAGTCTCATCTTCTTATTCTAGGCGTGAAACTGCACGCTTTGATTTTTGTGGACAACAACTATGCCTCGCTTAACATACGTCACGCACTCCGTTGCTCTTATTGGTTGTAGGTCTATCCAATTGAGTGCAGAGGCATTTTTTTTCCTGGTTCGTTCGAAACACGCCCCATAATCACAGCTCTATGGAGCAGTATCAGACTCATATTCTGACTAGAATTGAGTCGGACTACGTCAGGCTAGGTTAAACTACCCAGAATTTATCAACTTTTTACATTTTGTTTAACATTTGGTTGTATCAGCATACAAACAATTAGCTGGATGGTAAAAATCAGGTAAAATATTTTAGGGATAAAACTAACATATTTAGCAGTGAAAGTTGTGTAGAACTCCACCCATCCCTCTGGGAGGAGAAATCTAAACAAGAGAGAGAGAGAGATAGAGAGGGAAATTAAACGAAGCAATTGAAGGCAAAATGAATGATGAAAGGAATAATTAATGAAGTTTGAAAGAGTAGAATAGACCCAACCCATAGCTTTGTCCTGCATCTTAGAAAACCATTAGCCTTCACCTCTAAAGCTGATCACTATCCACCTGGTCTGTCTGAGCAACAACATACATTTAGCAATGACTATTAGCTTTTTTTTTAAAAAAAAAAAAAAAAAAAAAAAAAAAAAAAAAAAGAGGTTAGATTTGGGGCATGCAGCTGGTGCAGCGGTTAGTGTGCACAGCCCATGCACGGAGGCCTTAGTCCTCGACGCGGCCAATCCGGGTTCAAATCTGACCTGTGGGTCATTAGATTTTTGTCCTGATTCATCAGAAATACAACACTTAAACAAGCAAGAATATACATCGCAATTTAATACTCTGCTCGGAAAACAAATTCAGGACATTTCTCTATACTATGGTATATATGCGCCAAGTTTGCGTGTATAACAGTTATTGTATTTGAGGATATGCATCTCTCTTTTGAGAAACCCTTCAGAATAAAAGATTAAACCATGAATCAATGCCAAAGATGAATGTTGTAATTTTTGAACAATTACCTCCCTATTAAAAGGAGTTTGAAGACTTCAGAAGAATAGCAGAAAAGCCAGGGGACAGAGAGGTTAATATATGGAAAGCTTTTTCTGCATGACTGGGCAATTTAGTCCAAGGGTCCACAGCTCGGTGGGAAGCTTCTGTCCAACGACATCTCTGAAGATGATCATAGGTATTGGACTAATGAGCTTTACAGGGGCATGGGTCTATGGAGATGAGGGGGGTCAGGTGTGACAAGCCTGGATTTCTAGGCTTCCTTAGCAGAGCGGCCCCATAGGGGAAGAAAACACAATTGTTATCACTTTGTAGTCTGAAGATTTTAGCTGACAGTGTACCGTAAGTGTGACACATCATGGTCACTCTAATGACCTGCAGTCTACGTGTGCCTTAAGCAGATTCAGGCAGATTATGTCAGATGCAATTCAGACAGGCAGGGCTGGCTGGTTGTCGTGGTCAGTGTGAACAAGACGGAGAGATTAACAATGGGCGCATGGCTGATACCCCCCAGTGGTGTTACCCCATCGAGGTCAAAGCCAAGAT